GGAACTTGCACAATCGGTGGCTGACTAAATACTTTTTTGCCCCACTGTATTATGGGGAAAGAGAGACACTCTTCCACACTTTGCCTGGTTGACAGTCCAAACTTGGAGCCTTTATGGGAATCTTGTTTCTGATTTTAATTGAGATGGGTTCATCAGAGTATGCTCTCAGTGATCTGAGATGAGGCTTGCTCCACGTGTCTGCTGAACACCTTACAGAGAGAAGAGAAAGGCATTACCCCAGCTGATCAGATGAGCTCCATTATATAAGCAATGAGTCTGAGAGCACACGCAGTAACCACAGAGTTTAATCTACCTTCATGTCCACTTCTACTTTCCTTTTCTCATTACCCTCTCTCAGCCCTTTTATCTCATTTTCTGTCATCCTTTGCTGTGGTTCCTGTCTCTAGCCTTTTTGTCTCTTTTCTTTACACTCCTCCTCTCTATTTCTTTCACATTTTCTCCTCTCTGCTTTCTCTTGTTCATCTCCAGGTATTCAGCTTTGAGAATACTCAAAAAAGGAAATAATGAAACTGGCGTGTTGAAAGTGCGTAAGTCTCACTTACCATTTTTTCCCTGTGTTATGTTTTTCCTTCACTTCCTCTGTGTTCTTAGTAGATTGGCCTGGAGGTCTTGGTGACCCTAAAAAGGATGAGGGGAGGTGGCTGAGCAGAACAAAAAGCTGGGGCTTTGAACATGTCATGCTCTATTACTTGCTTACACTGACAGACACACACTTGCAAGTCCCCTGTGCTCACACATACATACGCAGACACAGTTGGTGAGCAGTGCATGTACCAGCTGCTCTGCCGGAGAGATTGGGGGAATGTGCATGGATATAAATATATGGAAATTGGTGTCTCTGAGGTAGGGAAGGCTTAGAGTGAGTTTTTTTTCCATTCTCTTTTTGTTTTGGGAGACTTTGAGAGATAAAAGATGAAGGCTAAGCCACTTAGCCCAGCAGAGAGCAACGGATATTGCCGTTATTAAAGAATCGGAAGGAAGAAAAATATGAAAGAGCAGTGGTCCAAGCAGAAAGTGATAGACAGGAAGTGGCAAACAGAAGCAAAATTAAATGAGGAGAAAAGAGAAAGATGTTATGTACAGTAGATGAGAACCCAGGTTAGTGGAAGTAGGAAAAGTATACATAGTACATCTTTTTATATTCATAATATTTAGGTTTCCAACACATCAGCTGCATTCAGATCTAGCTCAACAAGCTGATTGTTGAAGTGCTGAAAGTGTGAGGCGACTGAGTGGGTATTGTCTGTGCTAACTTGAGTTACTTCTCCCGCCCTCCTCTGTGTATTGATCCGTGTCTGTGTTTTTCTCTTCTAAAATGGCCATAATAGCGTTTATTAATTGCACATTCAATTACCCAGTAAAAACGCCTTTGTTAGCATCAAGCCGATTAAACTCATCAGTCTCTTCTATTAAATTAGCAGCTTTTAGATCAAGGAGTGGGAACGAGGGACCAGAGGCTTGTGGGCATCTTTAACGACTCTTATCTTTCAGCAACAGTTGGTTTCTTGTCTGCATTGTTACGCAAGTTCAATCTGGTTCTTTCAAAAGCTCATTCGACTCATTCAGAATGAATACAGGCAACAGGCAATATACTTTAAATTTAGTTAAACCCCCCTTCCCCATATCTTCTAAATATGCTTAAGTAGCATACCATTACTCAAACTAAAGTGGGGAGAGTCTAATAATTTGCCACAGGACTCATCTTAATCATTGTGCCTGAATGATTGATTAGCACCATTTACTCTTGAATGGACAGGTAGTAAAGGAGAATGAAATGGATTTAAGTGCTGTGCTGGACTTTACCTCAGGGTGTCTTTGGAGACACAGGGCTTTTGTTAGAACTCACCACTGGGGGTTTTTCTGAG